TCATCCCACGGAGTACCTTCATTCTTGGACCACATATTTCTGTCTTTGTTAAATAAATATTGCCATAACATGGGCAGTAGACATAACAGCTTGTGATGTTTTACTGTCAGGAAATCCCCTGCCTACGTAACACTAGTGACTAAACTTCTCTAAAATGACTTAATACTTTTATTATGGTCACAACTTGCAAAACATGACATATCATTCAGCTTTTTTCTTACAAAAACAGGTTGTGTAAGGATGTACTTTTACACTGCAGTTTCGTCATTCTTTGTTTTTGTTTAAGAAATAACATTGTGGGAACAGTTTTGTTTTTCAGCACTTGAGGTAAGATTTGAACCATGATAGATACTGTTAAAATCTCATGTTTTATTATGACACATATTTTTTCAGGCATTAACTTTTGCATCTACAGTATGTTTAAATCTCAAATATTCTGACACATTTAGCTGTAATTAGTTATTTCATGGTATAAATAAAAGTTTTCTAACAGTATGATTTTTTTGTGGGGGAGTGGACGGGGCCTAAAGCCCCACCTTCATACAGATTCTGGGCCAACTGACTTCTTTCTTCTTCTTCTTTTTTTACCAATAAAAGTAGACAGGGACATTATGAGCAACAGCATCTTGATCAATTTTCATGAAATAATGGAAAAATGTTGCTTTGTATTACTTGGAGAATTTGTTGTAATTTTGATAATAAGAAGAACAAAAACAGTTCAAATATTTAGTCTTTTATTGTGAAATCCGTCAGAGACAGTAAACCTAAATGTCTCTTTCACTTTTTGGACATTTAGCTTGTTTGTCTCTGTATGTGGACTGACAGAATGGGAGCTAATTTTTCATGATTCCTCCACAGAGTGGACCAGCAGAACTCAGAGGTTCCCAGTCCTCAGTCTGACCAGAAGCATCAGTCCCAGCTGGACTCCACAGTTGTGGTGTGTACATGTCCAAACTGTCCTTTATCCATTGTTTTCACAGTCATCTCCATGCTGCACTTTGTAGACCAGTGGACTGTCTGTCCAACATGTCAAGAAGTGAATTGACAGTCTGTCCAACATGTAGACCAATAAACTGTCCAATATGTAGACCAGTGAACTGTCTGACATGTAGACCAGTGGACTGTCTGTCCAACATGTCAAGAAGTGAATTGACAGTCTGTCCAACATGTAGACCAATAAACTGTCCAATATGTAGACCAATAAACTGTCCAATATGTAGACCAGTGAACTGTCCGACGTGTAGACCAGTCGACAGTCTGTCCAACATGTAGACCAATAAACTGTCCAATATGTAGACCAATAAACTGTCCAATATGTAGACCAGTGAACTGTCCGACGTGTAGACCAGTGGACTGTCTGTCCGACATGTAGACCAGTGGACTGTCTGTCCGACATGTAGACCAGTGGACTGTCTGTCCGACATGTAGACCAGTGAACTGTCTGTCCAAGATGAATCTGTAGTTTGGCTTCATGGTTTTAGTCTTGTGTGTCATTCAAATGCTTTCTTTTCCAGAAGATGAATCAGGAGTTGCTGGCTGACCATCTACAGAGCAGTAAGAGATTTTACAATTTTCCCACTTTATAGAAATCTAACATTTTACTTTTTTGATCACATCCTGCAAGATCTCACAATGCTGCCTGATATTTTGCATAACATCATTAACATGATTTGACCAAAACAGTTGTAAGGGTGTCCTTTCTCATTATGTCAAATATTTTTCTCTGATAATAAAATAGTTTAGATAGGGTGGTAGTTATAAACAAGTAAGTTCTTCAAATTTCAACTGATAGGTACACTTTTTATATATCCTGTAAGCTTATGACTCGCTCTACTCTTCCACTTGTGTGTTTCCACTTTACTTCAAACTCAAGTCCTCTATGTGAGGACTTGGAGTTTGAGGGCTCTGTTCAGTATTTTAGCTATTCCCAGGATCGTGCTATTTTGGACAGAGATATCTGAGGTTGTTCCAGGGATTACTGGAGCCAGTATTCAAGTTTGGGGTTGCAGTACCAAGTGCTCCAATGACCGCTGGGACTTCTAACACCTTGACTCTTTACAACTTCTCTATTTCCTTTTTCAGCCCTTTGTATTTTTCCATCTTTTTGTGCTCTTTCTTGATGTTACAGTTACTTGGAATTTCTACATCTTCTAGACTCCGTCTCTTGCTTATCGACCACCACAATGTCCGGTTGGTTAGCCATCACCTTTTTATCAATCTGGATCTGGAAGTCCCACAGTATCTTAGCCCTTTTGTTCTCCACTACCCTTGGTGATGTCTCCCACTTTTGACTCTAGGATCTCCCGTCCATACTTGGCACAGATGTTCCTGTATATTATTCCAACGACTTGGTTATGGTGCTCAATGTATGAATGTGATCCTACACCCATTTATTATATGTTGGACTGTCTCAGGGGCCTTTTTGCACAGCCTGCACCTTGGATATTGTTTGGTATGGTAGACCCTCACCTCTATTGCTCTTGTGCTGAGGGTGGAATCTTGTGCTACCTTGCTAAGAACATCTGTTCTGTCTGTCATTCCAGCCATCTCTAGCAACTGGTAAGATTTGTTGATATCAGCCACTTACTCTGCCAGTGGTATATGTCATGTAAAGGTTTATCTTTCCACGATTCCTTCTCTTGTTCCACCTCTTCCGCATTGAGGTTCTGCTGCTGCCTGAGAAATTCACTGTTCGGGTTTTTTTCAGAGGTTTTCCTCCTGATGTACTCCAGGATCTTAGTTTTTTTCATCCAGTATAGTAGCTCAGACACTCACTAGTTATCTGCCTCCTTCCTTTCGCATAGTCTCAGGGTGGTGGACTTGGGGTGAAACCCTTCAAGCATTGTGAGGAACTTTCGGGTTTTGATGCCAGTGGCTTCTATCTCTTCCTTTGATCCAGTTTTTAGACCAGCTGTGTATCTACTGACTGCTGCTACAACGAAAATCTGAAGCTCCTATGTTTAATAGTTTTTGAGCTATAACCATTTTTGTATGTCCAGATACCACTTTTTCAGATAAATTGGGGGTCCAGGGTGGGGGGGGACTGATTGGTGGGCCTGATGGATAGAGCTTCATCAGAGCTAAACAACAAAAGAAATCTGAAGCTCCTATGTTTAATAGTTTCTTAGTTATAAGCATTTTTGTGTGTCCAGACACCACCTCTTTGAATGGAGCCCTCTCCACAAATATGGGGTCTATCGTAAAACTCTTGGCTGGGCAGTGTGGGTCGGACTCATCTTCAGTCCTGCCAAATTTCATGTTGATTGGTGCAGCCGTTTTTGTGCTACGGTTGACCAAAAATCACTGGAAAAAAAAAACCAGTACAAAAACAATGACTCCCGCTTAAGCTTCGCGTGCGGGGGTCATAATAAGGTCCAGGAAAAAAGACTTAATTAGTACTGCCAAACTGGGGACATGACATTTCCTCTTTTATCCACAGCTTCTTCTTGAGTTGTTGCACTTGTTTTGCCCTTTTACTCCACATTGTTCTTTTTTATTTTTCAGCAGTTATGAGGCACCTTGGTGAAACTTGAAACTGCTACTGTGCATGTAAAATGTAAATGTAAATGTACTTTATTCTGACCCCCGCTCACAAAGCGTAAGCGGGAGTCAGATTGTTTTTGTACAGCTTTTTTCAGTGATTTTTGGTCAACCGTAACACAAAAACGGCTGCACCGATCAATATGAAATGTGGCAGGGCTGTAGTCGAGTCTGACCTACACTGCACCAGTCAACAGTTTTATGATAGACCCCATAATTGAGGAGGGGGCTCCTTTCAAAGAGGGGGTGTCTGGACATGCAAAAATGCTTATGAATCAGAAACTGTTCAACATACTGTAGAAGCTTCAGATTTCTTTTGTTGTTTAGCTCTGATGAAGTTCTATCCATGAGACCCACCAATC